CCAGGTGCCCCTTCATTAAGGTTAAGCAAAAGCTCAACTTTCACTGTGAAAAATAGATGCCCATCACCTTTGATTACCCTCTATCTTTCCATAATTGCTCTAAAATGAATTATTTAATAAGCTAGCAACAAGTAGGAGGTCAGTACTTTTCGCCACACAAATTAATTATCCCAGAGTATTTTAAAATTCTATTTTTTGTCACATTAAAACAGCATTTTAAAATCTGTATTTATTATATACTTTAATAAAGCCATTCACAATACAATGTTTGTTATTCTACCAAAAAACAACTAGGATTTTTATGCTGTCTGCTAAACAGGTGAACGTTTTTTGTCTAAGTTACACACACACACACACACACACACACACACACACACACACAAAACCAAACCCAAAAAACCTTTAGAACTGGCTTTGTGAGTGTGTTCTAGTGTGTTTGCTTTCTGGAACCTCCGTTTCATGGTCTGCACATAAGTAACACACTCTCCCAAACCCTGTTGGGGCACTTAAATGGGATATTTGTAAAAAGCACTCCACAAGTCACTGGCACCTGGTAGCCACTCCGTCATTCGAACACCAAAGTCAGGTTCCAAAGGTTTGATTAAGTCATATTGCTTCTAACACCGTGAGGACAAAACTCACACATGTCAACAGGTGTACTAGAACAGGCCACAGGTAGTTTCCTCACTTAGCAAGCCCTGGTTTTCCGAAACTACTTCCCCATTTCTTACCTAAAAGTTAAAAAACAATCCAGTCACAAAAGCTTTGATTCTCATGGAACTTCAACAAGGACCACACACTTTATGTATGTCGCATGTGTTATGACACATAACTGAATGCATTTGCTCAACATTCAAATAAGACAGTTATGTGAGTTTTTAATGTTTATTTCAACACTCGGGCAAGGGTTAAGATCTTAATGTAAAAGTAGTTTCTGGAAGTACCCAAAACCAGAAGATGGGTCCTTATACTTCGCCAATGAAAAGCACTCTTATTTTTAATTATTATGATTATCTACTTATTTTTTATAATACATGAATTGTTATTTTTAAAACAAGAAGAATATATTCACCTCACTGGATCCAAAACTTTCTTTTGTTTTTGAGCTGATTAATATGGAATAAGATACTAATCTGACATTTTAGACAGATCTGAGGTGGTAGAACCTCACTGAACAAGAAATCTGTGCACATGTGTGTTTACTCTAGCACATTCCGATGAACAGCAGCGCCCCAAGTAACGCCTTTATCTACTAAGGGATGTGTGTTAGTCTCATTAGCATCCCTACATTAACGTAAAACCCTTACTTTGTATAAAAACCCTGTGCAAGCCTAAGACAAAAAAGCTTCCCTTACTGGCTCAAGGATGACTGAATCACCTTAACAGACACATCCAGTTTACGATGAGAAATAAAATTTGGCCTTCAAATACCTCCGAAAGAGACCCTATAATGGGCTGAATGGTATAAAGGAGTCTGAGTCATGCTCTTTCCTGAGTGCAGGATTTTATGGAATGGTGCCTTGTCAAGATTTTTCAGAAATCCGACAGAACCTGGACATCCTGTACCTATCACCAAGAAATAACTTTTCCTCCTTGTGAGAACTGAGAATATTTAAGATCCTCAGACCCTAAGCACAACATGCACAAGGCCACTGCACCTTTCTGGATAAAGTATCTGCATCTTTGCTCTAAGTGAGAGTAACAAACACACAAACCTCTCCCTTTGCTGGGGACCCTGCCTGTTGGCTCTCATTACTTTTTCTCAGTCACTTCAGGGTATTTCTTTTTTAATAATGTGTCCTCATGATCATGCTGCTTAGAAGTAACATAATGCAGAAGTAAAACCTTGGGCCCCAGGTGGAATCAGACACACCTAGTTCTAATCCCAGATCCATCACTTGCTAACCTGTTTCCCTGGGAAATAGGTCACACTCCCTCCAAAGCCTTACGTGCCCATGCGTGTGCTTTGCACAGCGACTGACACACAATAATTAATGAAGCATCACTTACTATAAACATAAGGTAACATAAAGAGTCGATTTTAGAATTACTTACGGTCTTACAACTGAAATTCAACTTCTAGCCCAGCAATACCACAAGAGCCTATATCTTTATCCCAAACCACTACAAGGCTTCCAAACATGGTCCACAGAGAACATAGAAGAAAACATCTAAGAGTCCAGTTTCCTTCCTGCCACATTGTATTCCCTCTCATGGGAGGATAAGATTGTCCTCAGCGAAGTTAATATTTTCCCCAGAGTCCCTGCTGAGCCACGAACCACTGCTAATTAACTTCATGAGGACAAATTTTCAAGTGACTTGAGGCTTCTGCCTGCCAGATGGCGTTTCCGAGATCATCACTCCTTCCTCGCAGAGGTCAGCCAGCCCCTAACGACACTCTTCTCTAGGAATCGGCCCTGCAGGGGTCGGGTCAGTGCTGGCGGGGAACAGGTGGAAAGGACCCTGCACGAGCCGCTCTTCAGGGTCCTCCTGGATTGAGACAAAGGCCAGACCAGCTACACCTGCCTCCTCTCTCCCTAAGCCCAGCCCAACCCCCAGGGCCACTGCTCTGCAAGAGCCTAAGGGGCAGAAGAACACGGAGGAAGGGCAGGAAGCAGGAACGGGGCTGTAAGTCAAGCCACGGAGCGGCCGCTCAGGGCCTACAGCAGGAATGAATATAATCTGTTTGGAAATACGAAACCAAAAACAGATTAAAATTTAAAAAACCTCAAAGCAAGAGTCACAAAATACTTATTCAACTGAACAGAAAAGATAACCTCACCTACCGAGAGCTTCTATCATCTACATGCGCAAAAATGGGATCAAAAAATAAGTGAAAGATCCCTACCGAGTTCACTTTCTGGGAAGACGACGGGATGAATTACAGTGCACGGCACTGGGTGTGATGGCACTGAGCGCTTACAGCAAGCTCTGACATGGTATCAGGAAGAAAAAGCCCCAGCAAAACACCGTAACTAAGAACGACCTCTGAGGGCAGCTCACCCAGAACTGGAGCGCCTCTTCCTCCCGGCCCAGCCCTGTGTGCAAACCAGAGCTGACCGGGGCGCCCAGGGTATGAGGGAGGCAGACTCTTTAGTGAGTCACTGGTTTAATCCCGCTTAGACCCAGAAAGGTTAAGTGACTTGGCCAAGGTCCTAAATCAAAGAGTCTGAATCCAGACCCATATACACACGGCTCCAAACCAGGGCTCATCCAGTCAACCACTAGGGCCCCTCGGGGGAAGAGTTTGAATTTGATCCCTGCTCATGACCCAGCCTGCCGTTCAATGTCACCATCCATCAAGGAGGCATCTGAGGAAACTCTCTGTCAATGCTTCTCCAGTCCTAAAAATGCACTTTAGCACAATTTCTACTTAGCACCAAATATCTGTACTGTTTCCGACTGCTTTATTCTACTGAACATACAGTAAATGGGTGACGCACCCACAGTCTGGGTGTGACTAGTTTCCAGCCGCTCCCTCCTTCGTGCTTCCCCACGCCTGAGTACGTTCTTCTTTTCTAACGCTCAGCGCGGGGGGGACTGGGGGTGGGGCGGCAAGCGTCTGGCTGCGACAGAGCGCGTCCGCGTACGCAGCACCGGATCCCAGCACCAGCCACCACGTGTCCGCTGCGTGACTCACTGCCTTAACGTCTCCAACCCAACAGTGCGTTTCAGAGGGGAAGGGCCGCATCTCCGTGATCCGAAAGTTTCTGGAAACACTGAGGCAAACGACAAATGTTGGTTCACATTGGTGGGGGAGGGGCGGGGCGATAAAATGGTAAACTTAAAACTACTTTCCTACATCTCTTACGATATAACCCCGTCCACACCCTGGCAACCCACCAGACAGGTACGATTTCATTGTATATGTCTACACTTTCTACATTTTTTTCTCTAGGTCACTTGTTCTGTTGAAAGTTCCTTGCCAAGTTACAATGAAAATACTGCAGCTTAACTTCTCGAGGTTGACGGCTTCTCTCCTCTTCCTGTTGTCACCATCCCACGTTTCTGCTGTTTGTATTTAAATAACGGCAGTCCCTTTGTGCTGTGTTCCAGAAGTCTGAGAATTTTCAGAACTCAAAACAAGTTTTCCCATAGAAAAGTTAGAAAACAAAAACCGAACATGAAGGGCGCTGAGGTTCCCACGCCCGTCCACAAAGGCTCATTTAGCACATCAGGGCCGCACAGAGCCCGGCCACACGGCCGCCTGCTCCGGGAAAATGCCTTCCAGGCTCCAGGCGGGTCTGCCCGAAACACATTTCTACTCCCTTTCCTCTTCCATGGCTTACACCCACTCCCCCATTCCCATCTACTGGGCTTCCCTCCTCCCATGCCGTGCCCCCTGGGAGCAGAGGTGGAAGGGAAGTCCAGCACCCATGTCCAGGTTCAAGAATGAGGTCTGGGACTTTGCGGCAAGCAGGACGGGAGACAGAGCCACTACGCTGGCAGCCCCGAGGTGGAGCGCAGAGCTCTGCAGGAGGCAGAGGCTGTGGCCTAAGAGCAAGAGCTCAGGGGAGACTAGCGGGAAAGGGCTTGCTGTCACACAGAAGTCATGGGATCACTCACTCACTCATTCATTTTTTCATTCATTCATTCATTCAATAAATGCTTCCTGAGAACCTACAACCTCCTAGGTGCCACGCTGTATTCAGAAAACAAAACAGACACCACGCGTCTGCTGTTTTGCCTCCCGAGGGACATCTGAAAATATCTGGGAACATTCACAGTTGCCCCACCTCGAGGGGGGAGGTGCTACCAGCACCTAGTGGGTGGGGCCTGGGGTGCCGTGCACGGCCCCCACGTCAGGACGGCCCCCATGTCAGCTCTATCCAGCCCGAGATGGCGGCAGTGCCAGGGCTGCCTGCTTTAAGTAATTCAGGACAGCTCTCCTGGAGAAAATTATCACCATTTAGAAGGATTCTTAATAGAACAGAACAGAATTGTGATCTCTTCTCTTACAGCGAAAGACGCATTGATATGTATAAAGAGGTGACACTTACTTGTGCATGTTCTCCACTCCTATTATGATCATGATACAGTAGGAAATTCCACTTTGTACGAGAAAGTGTAAGGCATACCTATAAAAATAAGAGCACTGTTAGAAGAAGGACTCCCATTCGCAAGCATCAAGCTAAACCCATTTAGGCTACAAAGTGCTTCTGTTTAACACAGAACATCTGCAGATAAAAAATAAGGAGTGTGGGGCGCCTGTGTGGCTCAGTTGGTTAAGTGTCCAACTTCGGCTCAGGTCATGATCTCACGGTTTGTGGGTTCGAGCCCCACGTCGGGCTCTGTACTGACAGCCGGCTCTGAGCCTGGAGCCTGTTTCAGATCATCCTGTATGTCCCTCTCTCTCTGACCCTCCCCTGCTCACACTGTCTCTCTCTCTCTCTCTTTCAGAAATAAATTTTTAAAAAATAAATAAAAAGTAAAAAAAAAATAAGGAGTGTAACTTCCATGGCCTAAAATTCTGTGAACAGCTTAGAAGGGAGTCCCATATCCCAAGGCCCAGGAGAGCTGGGACAATTAAACGAAACCCCATAACGGCGCACTCAGTGCCCTGGCATTCGCTTCTCCTAGCTACATGAAAGCACTGAGGGTTATGTGGCTCAAGGATTACTGCTTTTTCCATAACTCAAGGCACAATGACGAAAAGGTAATAAATCTGGATTTCAGAACAGCCCTGACAGAACATTAGTTATTTGTTTCCCAAATACCTAAAACTCCTTCTCACAAAGCAACAAAAACTACCAAATGGTGGCATTTACTAAAAACCAGGGACACCCAAAACTATTTATTCTGAAAACACGATGGCTCCAATCAAATAATCTTCTAATCCTTAATCTGCAGTCATCTATCCGTAAGAACATTCTGGCTAACAGGACACTGAATTTCCTAGTGTTCTAATGTAGAAATCCACCCCTGAATGAGAAAACTAACTTATCCACTCATTTCACAAAATTCAGGCACAACAGGATGAAGATCTCTGGTTTTAAACTCAATCTAAGCCATCCCTGAGATGACACATCTGTGGGCACACACACGAACTTACCATTTTCTTTCCCCATCGATGGTGTGAATAATATATGAAAATTTTTTTCATATTCTTGTACACTATAAATTGTACAATATAAATAAGATCTTAACCTGTGATTAAAATTATTTTTTAACCTAATCATTATGGAGTAACAGGCATCTCCAATGTGGAAAAGTTACTTAAATTTTTGAATAAATCTTTCCATAGGTATATTATAAGAAGTAGGCTCCAAGGCAGGGGCACGGAAGAAACTTATTTTACCCACTGTACAGAGTATACTTGTCTGTCTGTCTCCATCTAAAACACACACACACACACACACACCCCTACACACACACAAGAAAATGGCACTGGCCTGGAATACTACTCTAACTAGGAAGTCGTAAGAAAGCAGAACACATGAACATAAACTGAAAGAGAAGGAAGCTTAAAACACGATTAAAACACACACTTTTCTGATTAGTTACCCATGGATTAATGACTCGCTAACAGATCTAATGTGGAAATGCTGAAGGGGACGGCCAGGTATGTTAAGGGCTTTATTAACTGAAATTAGAACTCAGCAAAGGCATTCATCTTGGGGCGCCTGGGAGGTTCTGTCGGTTGAGCGTCTGACTCCTTCAGCTCGGGTTATGATCTTAGGGCTCATGGGTTCGGGCCCCACATCAGGCTCTGTGCTGACAGTGTAAGCCTGCTTGGGATTCTCTCTCTTCTCTCTCTGTCCTCCCCTGCTCTCTCAAAATACATAAACGTAAAAAAAAAAAAAAAAAAGACACTTGTCTTAAAAAATTTTTTTTGAGGACTCTTGGGGATATATTTTTTTTCTATTTCTATGAGTAAGTTTCCTTGGAACGTGAGGAATATACAATAACTTTAGAAGCTAAGGGTTTTATTTCTCAAACAGCGCCAGTCCTTATATCGCCTTCGGATGCCCCTCCCCTGGCATCACTGTTCAGATAACGTGCTTGGCAATCTTTGGGGGTGCAACAAACCCTCTGCCAGCCTCCCGCTGTACAGGCTTTTATTACTGTGACAGTTCAGGTTTATCCGTATGAAGCAGATCTGCCATTCACCTCTGTTCCACCTACTTCCAGACCTCCACCACAAGCATCGAGTTGCTTTTCTACTCGTGTATACAGCACTGGGGAGGGAGTTTCTTCATACGCCCCCACGTGTTCTCCTTAGTAGACTGAGCATAATAAATACCAAGTAGCCACTTAGTATTTTTCAGGCTTAAGAGACAGTCCATGAAAGGTATTGACTGGGGAATCTGGCACACGATATGCACTCAACTATGAAGTATTAGTAGTAAAGCAGAAATTTAAGACAGGAGGTATCTTAAAAGTCTATTATAATCCAACCTTCATCATTCTAGAGCTGAGGAAACTATGTCCTAAAGTCACATACCTAGCTAGCACCCTAACTGATGTTAAAACTCAAGTTGTTTCTTCCTGGGCAACTCTCCCACGGGCTGGCTCTTCAAGGGGCGGGGAGGGAGGGAACCCAAAGACTGGGCTTCGCAGCCTCTCAAGCAGCCCGAGGACTTAGAAAACAAAGGGATCCTTTATCTCAAGCCTTCAGTTTGTTTTTATTTATTTTTTTCAGTTTGTTTTTAGATTTCACATCTTACTCATTTTGAATTTCAAATCACACACTGGTATAAATTTTATTTTTAGCAAAGAAGAACACAATTTTAAAAAAGGTTGAGAAACACCTTTCCCTATTGTTCAACTGATCTGTACGTAGCGTGTGTACTACTATCTGACAGGCACTAGGGCACTAGGAACACAGCCAGGAATTCCTGGGCACTAAGAATACAGACTCAATGGGACACCGCCTCTGTCTGCAGAGAGCTTCCAGTATAGAGAGGAAGACAGAAAAACAACAGACTATGTTGTTGAAAAAAAAACAAAACAAAACATGCTATGTGATAAATACTGAAAAAAGAGATTAGATAAACCTAAACTTTCCAATATGGATGATGGTAATGACAGATGACAACAATGATAATGCCCTTGGACCCTGGGTGATTCTCCAGGTTCACAATGAGCCGGCTACTGTGCTGATTAGCTCCTCTCTGTAGTTATTACACCTTTGGGGTCTCATGATAATCATGGATCCCCTTTCACAAATAAGGAAAGGAAGCCAAAAGGGTTTGAATAACATGTCCAAAGTAACAGGGCTCCCAGGCAGAATCCGGGTGTGACTTGGGAGTCTAAGCTTTATTCCACTGCCCTCTGCGGTTATCAGAGATGGCTAAATAAAGTATAAGCAAATTCTCAGTTAAAAGAAATTTGTAGTTGATGGTTTAAAAAAAAAAAAGCTGAGACAAAGCAGAAATAGGTAAAATGATCAATAATATTTACAAAGGACTAACATATGACTTCCAAAAGGTAAGTTGTCAAAATCAATAGCAGCTATGAGACTGCTGAGCCTAAAAACACAGAGTGTTGAACTGCGAATTGAAAGGATACTCTACTCCTCTCACATTCCAATTAGCAAATAGTTATTTGAACCAGTTGCAGAGATGTACCAAAAAATTCTCTTGGGGCGCCAGGGTGGCTCAGTCGGTTAGGCATCCAACTCTTGATATTGGTTCAGGTCATGATCTCATGGTTCTGAGATCGAGCCCTACATCAGGCTCTGCACTGACTGCATGGACCCTGCTTGGGATTCTCTCTCTCCCTCTCTCTCTCTGCCCCTCCCCTTTTCACTCTCTCTCTCTCAAAATAAATAAAAAAGCTAAAAACATTTTTCCCATAGAAAGAAATATAAAACATTTCTCCTTCAAGAAAAAAAGAGACAGTATTTCATGTGTAACTTGAAATACTGAAGAGTATAAATAAAGTCAGGCTCCTCGCGGCCCAGTATGTGAAGCATGTGAGAAGGGCTCGCGACAAGAAAGTACCTGCTCAGCGCAGGCCTCTAATGGAAGACAGCATACTTCCCTCTGCAACGCTGTGTCTTGTGCCCCAAAACATACTACTTACGTGCCAATTTTCTACTCTGTTCACACTGACCACAACATGAATGGTGTCCTTGGACCTGACCGCTCCAAACTACAAGCCTTCCCCAACCCCTCTCTAAAATGCATCACACAAGTACTGAAGCATCTACGGGTGAAATACGTAGGCTGGGATATAATTTTAATTAATCCAAAAAAACAAGTTGGGGAATAAATGAGAATAGAGGAATTTTAAAAAACTGCCGAAGCCGGGTAAGGGGTATACAAGGGCTCATTATTCTCTGTGCATCTGCATTTGAAAAGGTTGACAATATAAGTTTAAAATAAAATATATGTATATACTACCCCCACGGCATGATGTAAGAGAGGTTTAAATCAACCCCCCTGAGAACCTAGAGAAATGGTGAGGATACACATTTGATGGCATCGAGGAAGTGGAAAGGGCCGCAGGTGGGACCACAGAGACCACTCTATACCTCCGCACTAGGTACCCCTGGCAGTGCCCGGCGGAGGACTGGCCACACGGCCAGATGGCAGAGACTGACAAACGATCCCTGCCCGATTTTTCATTAGTTTCTAGGAAACATTTGCAATTGCCAGAGGCAAAAATCAGATTAAGAGATGCCAGCGTATTCGAACCCTCACAAGAATGAGACTCGGCATCCCAGCACAAACCCAGGGGCGTTATCAGAGCGCCACAGATTCTGCCCCCGGCCACGGAGAGCGCAGAGCACACCGCCAGTGAGTGCGGCGTGGCCTCGAAGGGAACCTCCGTTCCCCAAAAAGAGCCTGCGGAAGAGAGAGCCTGCGAGGCCTCAGCTGTGAGCGCGTTAACTGGACGGCAAGCGAGCGAGCAGCGTAAAGCTCTCACTTAAAAAAGAAGATTCGGGGGGCGCCTGGGTGGCTTAGTTGGTTGAGCGTCCGACTTTCGCTTAGGTCATGATCTCGCGGTTCGTGGGTTCGAGCCCCGCGTCGGGCTCTGTGATGACTGCCAGCTCAGAGCCTGGAGCCTGTTTCAGTCTGTGACTCCCTCCCTCTCTGACCCTCCCCTGCTCACGCTGTCTCTCTCTCTCTCTCCTAGAAATAAATAAAAATATTTAAAAAAAAAAAAAAGATTTGGAAGAAACCACAAAGAAGCCCTTCCACGGAGAGTCTCTGCAACCTCGCCAACACTGTGTCTCTTCTCCCGATCTCCTCCATCACACGACCAGTCACCTGCGACCCACAGGAAGCCTGGTGTTTCTGTATTTAAGGCTCTCGGGGGAGCCCTGAGAGCTCGGAAGGGAGCCCACGGAAGGGAACACACACACCTGAAAGTGCAGAAGTCACAGCTTTCCATCAGAAAGAACTCTTCTCACCAAACACAAACACAAAGCCTCTTTTTACTAAGGGCAGAATCTAAAATATGGTAATAGAGTTCTATCGTTGGGCTTTACCGGACTCTTCAAAGCCACTTGTGCAGAAAGAAAAAACTAGTTTAAATGGTTTATTTGTCTTGGCATAAAAGATGTGCAGAATAGGTGAAAAGAACTACTCATGGTAGAAAAATGTGTCTGTATGTCTTCCTTCGTCTGTCCGATGTCATACATTATGAATAGTAAACTGCCCTCCGAGCCCAAACTGCAGAGACAGAGCCCCTTCTTTACTCTGATTTTAATTTCTATTAAACTGAAAAATATAAAACCTGACCTGCACAATGTAAGAACAAAACCCCGCATAATGGATCTTTGTACACACTCAATTCGCAAAGCTGTCCAAAGTCTTCATTTAAATATAATCAAAATAGGGGCACCTGGGTGGCTTAGTCGGTTAAGCGTCCGACTTTCGCTTAGGTCATGATCTCGCGGTTCGTGGGTTTGAGCCCCGCGTCGGGCTCTGTGCTGACTGCCAGCTCAGAGCCTGGAGCCTGTTTCAGAGTCTGTCACTCCCATTCTCTGACCCTCCCCTGCTCATGCTGTCTCTCTCTCCTAGAAATAAATAAAAACATTTAAAAAAATAAATAAAATAAATAAATAAATATAATAAAATAATGACTTACCATCCAAAGCAAAAAAGTGCAAGATAAAGGCCCAAAAGGGTAGCAACGACATGTCTTATAAAACAGCTAGTTTTGCTTGAACGGAGGTAAGTTCGAAACCAAATGGCGGCTAGCAAGGCGAAGAGCTGGCACACGACAAAGTTGACCTGAAAGGAAAAATTAAAATTTCACATTAGCAAAACAGACGTGAATCCTTCCTCTGACATCACATTTAAAGTGTCAGGCCCCAAACAGCAAGGCTATATAAAATTCAGATCTTCGAAAGTTTACAAAAGAAATGAAACCAAAAACAAGAACCGGGGCCTTCTGAGAAAGGACAGCCTCAAGTGCAAAGAGATGGGCTGGTGCGCGTGGCCTGTGCTACAGGGCCAGGTGGCATCTGGTGTGGAAAGGCCTGGGGTTGGGCAGTGGGAGGCACCTGAAGAATCTGGAAGATGTGGGGGTGCAGACACAGAAATAGCACAGGGTGCACCCTGTGGTTTAAGGGAAAGAGAATCTTGGCTTTGACACAGGCAAGTTTGTCTACATATCCACTGGGTCAAGACTGGGTCAAGGTCCCTGAGGGTCTGGTGGAGCCCTGCAGTCCAGAGCCAGCACTGAGAATGCTAGGGACTAAGTACCTCTGCCCTGGGGGAACTCAGGGATGGGTTAAGAAGGCGAATGGATGGATGGGAACAGAGAAAGGGGCCTTCAGGAAGCAACGAGACAAACACTGACTCTCAAGTCCACCAATGTCAGTTTTTCATTTGCTTCGTAACTCACAGTGACGCGGCTCTTGACAGTGAGAATGAAGCCCAGGTGGCAACAGCATCTCGTCACACTCCGGCCCTGGCAAAACGGGGCCGAAAGGCTAAGAAGAAGAATCTCTTACGGTTATTTAAAGACTCAAGAAAAAAAAATCTCCGTTTTTTTCAAAGGAAAGATATTCTCAGAGACTTAGTTAAGGAAAATAGGTCTTAAAACCCAAACAAAAGAAAAAAACCCATTTGACATTAGGAACTTGCAAAAAACATGAAACAACAAGGAAATCACTGTTCCGGGGCCCTCGACCAGGAACAAATCACACTGTCTACATGTAGACACTGCCGTAGATCCACAGAGATGTCTCTGCCTAAAGACACAGACAACTATGTGCTCTTTCTTGCACTACAAGGAGAGAAACAGTTGAACATTGTTGTACTTTGTCTAAGAGACCATTGTTCTTTGAAACAGTTAAACTCGATACAAGCCAGCAGTCATTGCAACAGGTTCTAAGCATCTTTTCCCTCCTAAAAGGTTCTAAGCATAATTTCTTAATTAACCAAAAAGTAAATACATCAGAAAAATGAATATTTTTGTGGGTGCCTGGGTGGCTCATTTCCTTCCAACTTCAGGTCAGGTCATGATCTCATGGTTCGTGAGTTCGAGCCCTGCATCAGGATCACTGCTGTCAGTTCAAAGCCTGCTTTGGACCCTCTGCCTCCCTCTCTTCTCTCTCAAAAATAAACATTGGGGTGCCTCGGTGGCTCAGTCAGTTGGGTGTCCAACTTTGGCTCAGGTCATGATCTTGTAGTTTCTGAGTTCAAGCTCTGCATCAGGCTCTGTGCTGACAGCTCAGAGCCTGGAGTCTGCTTCCGATTCTGCGTCTCCCTCTCTCTCTGCCTCTCCCCTGCTCACTCTCTGTCTCTCTTGCTCTCAAAAATAAATAAACCTTAAAAATAAATAAATAAACATAAAAAAAGAAAATATTTTTGATATAAATAACTAGTCATATCTGCAAAGCTTCTCACAGTTTAAAATTTTTCTTTCAAACATCCTTTAATTCAGCAAAAATTTATAGAGCATCTACTATGGGCAAAGCATAGGAAAATCAAGAAGTGTGCAACTCCCAGTGCTAGCCCTGGATAAGTGTAGAATGTAATGACAAAAGCAAACAGGTATACAAGGAACTTCAACTCGATCATTAAAGCATCTTTTTAAAAGCTATATATAAAGTGCTTTAAGAACACCCCACCAACCAACGGAAGGCACAGGAAGGGATGAATGTCACCAGGCAGGTGACATGCGTTCTTAATCACAGCTGATATGCACAGCCACGTGAGCCACTGGTCCCTGTGGCCCTACCTCCTCCTCGCTCCCCTCCCTTTCTCTTCTCATTTGTGTCTAATGTAAAAGAAAGAATCATAATTATCACAGAAGCATCCAAGAGCCACTGGCATACAGTGTTTGTAAATATCTTTTGTATCTTTGTAAATATCCATTTCAACACTGTCTTCTTACAGATGAAGAAAATGAGAGCAGATCTCACTCCAGACACTGAATCAAAATCTATGGGGGTAAACCCAAAAGTTGATATAAAAAACAAAACAAAACAAAACAAAACAAGAAAACAACCCACAGGTCCTGACAATCCTCAAGGTGTAAGAACCAATTGTGTTGGGAAATAGGAAAAGGGCATTTTAAACAAACAAACAAAAACAATGTGAAGAAACCAGTGAGAAATGAAAAGGGAAATGGGCACGATGTGGAATGCTCAGAGAGGGGGTCGGAATGGGGGTGGGTTTGGGAAGCGAGGGCTTTGCGTGTCATGCTGAGGCATTTATGGGTGAGCCCATGAGTACTAAAAAAAAAAAAAAAAACAGTGAAAATTTTTAAAATAAAAAAGTGCTGTGGTCCATCCTCTGCTCCTGCAAAGGCAGAACAGAATCCGGATAGGAGGCTGCTGCTGGAGTCTCCTGAGAGAGGAGCCCTGCACAGGCGGGGACATGGAGGGGAGAGGACCGACTCAAAGGACGCTCAGGCCAGAGGTGTGTCAGGTCTGGTCACTAGATGAAGGGATGAGAGAATGCGAAGGGCCACGGGTCATTAATAAAGTATAACATGGGTAAGACAGGACAATGGGGGGGGCAGAGCAGAAAGCCACACTGTACAGATACGGAGACTAAGTCTCAGTGCTTAGGTGACCTGTCTGAAATAATACAGCTTAAGAATAATTCATAAATCAGGGGCGCCTGGGTGGCTTAGTTGGTTAAGCTTCCGACTTTCGCTTAGGTCATGATCTCGCGGTTCGTGGGTTCGAGCCCCGCGTCGGGCTCTGTGCTGACTGCCAGCTCAGAGCCTGGAGCCTGTTTCAGAGTCTGTGACTCCCTCTCTCTCTGACCCTCCCCTACTCATGCTGTCTCTCTCCTAGAAATAAATAAAACATTAAAAAAAAAAAATTTAAAAAAAAAGAATAATTCATAAATCATCCACTAATGGCCAGGATAACTGCGCAGGAGACGAAAGGATGCAAGAAATGTGTCCTGCTCCAGAAGAACCAAAAGAGTGAGTCCCAGACAGAACCAGAGTACAGTTTCAGCGCGAAGGCTCAGACCCGGGAGAAGCTAGAGCCAGAGCACTCCCCCCTGGACCTCGGGGAAGCTTCCCCGGACCAAGGCACAGCCAGTGCTTGAGGCTGGTAACTGGGCCGGGAAGGGTAAGGAACTGGATGGCCAGACAACGGCCGGAAGTCTGGGAGGAGGGAATAGCATAATGCAGATGAAGACAAGACACTGTAGGACATTGAGACTAAGTACTTTACATAGAAAATCCTAGATTACATACATACCCAGGCGTTCAAATAACTGTCTTGAAAGGTCTTAAAGGTAAAACTTTCCCAAACTGAAACCATATCTTAGTCATCCCTTCATGGGTGGGAGAGGGCTGGGGAAGCCAATGGTAACTAGAAAGGGAGAGACAGCAAGACAGAAGGACACAGCTACAATGTCTGAAGATCCACCATGCACTGGGCACTTGAACCTGATTATGTCATTTAATCCCTAGAGCAGGGTGCCGTTTTCCATTTTACTCTACCAACTCAAGGTCATTTATATTATATAACAGGTGGTACCCCACACTCAAAATCCAAGTCTGAGGGGTTCTAGGATGTACAATGGCTGCCTCTCTACTTCCAGAGAAAGTCTGAAGGTCAAGCTTGATTGCCACAGGCAAGACTTTTAGACACAATGCTATCTGCCAAATACTGCCATCCTATTTAATAAAACATCAACGTCACTTCCCATAGCTAATAAACACAATGAAAAAGATGCCATGTGGAGTTCGCAACCATCTGTGTTGACTTGTTACAGATCAACCCTTTACACAAGCCTTCTTCTAGATGGAAAGAGAGCTAGACCAAAAAGACTTCATGTTCTGTTTTCAAAACTATTTTGTTGAAAATATATACACATGACCTGATGTGGCCTCAAAGAAACCGCCCCTAGTAATTTGGGAGTGGGGGGAGGGAGGGTAGGCAGGAGACAGGAAGGGAAAAGGAAGCAAAGATGGGTAATCTTAGCTGATTTAAGACTTACTGGTAACATACCTCCCTGCATACAAAAGAAGCCTTCTTTGAAAAGTTGCATAAAAACAGTCCTTATAAAAGCAATAGCTGTAGACCTATCCAAGGATGCTCTTTAAGGACTGTGTTTTACACGAGCTGGTGACAGAAATATTTTCTTTAACGCCAAATGGCGTGGCTTGATCTCACAATGAAGTTAGTGTCTAGGTGTTCAAGTTGAAAGTCTACTGCTCAATTGTGCCACTCCAATGTAACAGCAACATGATTAACTTATTTCTTAAGGACATTCAAAGCAATGCTTAATATCTCAAAATAAATGTGGGAACACACTCAGGGAGAAGGGTCTGAGACGGTGACACAGGAGGCTCCTGAACATGCCTCTTCCGGACACACCACCACTGAGAATCTACAGCTACACCCAGAGTGATGTACAACTGTGTGAGGTACTGGATGGTAACTAATTTACAATGGTCATCATTTCACAGTATGTCTACATACCAAATCATTATGTTGTACACCTTAAACTCCTACAATCTCCTATGTGCTCATATCTCAATAAAACTGGGGAGAAAAGCATTTAGGTAATTTAAAAGCTGTTTCAAAGATACAGGCGTTATGATTATACCATATAAAGATTTTTAAACTATATATGGCAAAATGGAAAAAAAAATCAAAAGATTAAAGGAAAAGTGGGAAAATATTTGCAGAACACAGGATGGAAAAAGAAGAATCACTTACTTAATATACAAAGGACTTTTACATATCCACAAGAAAACTGAACTACTCAACAGAAAAATTAAGCAAAAAGCATCAACATTTACAAATGTC